TCAGAATCAGATGGACAGTAGGAAACTACTACTGCAAACTCTCAATTTTTTCAAATTCCTATGTAATTTTCTATATGGGACGCTGGGCCCCATTCCCAGCACATGTTGCTCCCCACGAATAGATTGGAGCTTTGTTCCCATTGAGAAAAAAAAAAAAGAAGAAAAAAAAGGACTTGGTTACTAAAATAAAAAAAAGAAAAAAAAAGAAGAAAAAAAAGAAAAAAAGAGGAAACTAAATGAAAAAAAGGGGTAACTAGGGTGCAGTCATGATTTCAGTTTTAAATCCAGTTCAGGCATCCCTCGAACACAACACATCCCCACCCGACCCTAAAGCTGGGTTGTATACATTCACTATTCTCCTTGCTTTTGACACAACATTTGCGAAATAGTGCTCTCCTCAAACGTGTCAAATCCAATCCTCTCTGCTGATGGGACCAGGGCCCAGTAGTTTCCCAGCCATTTTTTTCAGAGTCGTGGCGTGCATGCAGCCGCGACTCTCGGGAAAGTACTGACCAAGGCTCCGTTTCGCTGGACGTCCATCCAATGGCAGGCATGCGCTGCCTTTTGCCAGCCAAAAGTGGAAACCGTGCCGTTTCCACTTGGCTGAATCGGGGTTACCGGCCCAGGCCCATTCATCCCAAAAGTCGTGCTCGTTAACGAGGAGCAATTTTCTGAAGTAGTACTGGTGATTTAATATTGTTAAAACTTCAAAGGGACCCTGGACCCGGTTTCCAGCTGGTGAAGCTCCCCACCAATAGATGGAGCGGCTGACAAAGGGCTCTGCTAGGGGAGGCTGCTCATATCATCCCGCCTAGCATCCTCAGTAGGTGTGAAATTAACAAAAAAAAAAAAAAAAAGAGAAAATTGCCAGACCTGTCTGGCTAGCTATGGCTGGCCCCACTCTCCCTGCTATCAGCCCCAAGAAAAAAGCTGGCAAGTTTTGACTCAACAGTCAAAACTTCCCTCAAAAGGGCTTAAACCCCCACTACCTCCACCAGTGTTGGGAAAAATGGGAAAAGTGGCTGTACAGTTTTCCCACTTTTTCCGAAGTTTTTGGGGGTTGGACGAGGCTCGGCAGTTGGGCCTTGAGGGCCCCTTCAAAAAACAAAAAGAAAAACAAAAGATCATGTCCCGGAAGGCCGTGCACTTGTTGTCCTCACACCAAAACTCACACGTTCGTATCTAACCGCTATAGTGGCCAGTTTCAGGTTTCCATTGTTTGTGTTTTTTGTTTTAGTTCTTTTTCTTTTGTTTTGGTGCCCCGCCAGAGAGGCACGCGCAGTCCACGGGCTGCTGACACTTTGGGAGGAGAGGATGTGAGTATTCAACGAAGGCGTATAACTCCAGCAAAGCAGTGATGTAACAGTCGAAGAACCATACCAAGTGCATCAGAGAAGCAGACGGGAAGAAGAAGAAGAAGAAGAGGAAGAAGAAGAAGAAGAAGAAGAAGAAGAAGAAGATGAGAGACAACACAGGATAAATGGAACTCCCGAATGCGACACTAAAAGTAAGCAATTAAAGCACAGGCAGTAGTGACCCGACTAGTTTCGGCCGGCCGCCACCGGCGACTCGTCAGGGGTCTTGGTCGGTCGCGAGATGCCTAACTACTGTAGACATTACCTATTTATCCTGTGGTTACATCAGAGGACCATGGAAAATATCGAAAGTCAACGAGGCCCACTAGAGAAACGTCTACACAAAGATGCCCACTGACCAGACCTTCAGCCTATCTCAGACCACTACCAAAACCAGGACCACTTCAAAACCGTAAAACTGTCCTGTCGGCCCTGGGACTAAAAACCCGCAGGCCCACCTAGATAAATCCTCAAACGCTTCGGGACTTCAACCCATCAGTTCAAAAATTCAACCTTAATGCGAAAAGGTGTCCATTATTAAGGTCCCGTACCTATCCACCCCGGGACTATCTACCCGCGGGTCCGAAGGCCGGGCATATCAATAACTCCGGGACTGACACCCGCGAGTTAACCAGTGATACTCACCACTACTTCAACATTGTTAATATGCAGTTTATTCACCATAGCTTACTAGATCTCACGACTAAGTTCAGATGACTAGGAAGAGCAGCCTAATTAAGACAGAGAACTTCCTAACTTCTGCTCAACAAGCGACCCCAATTTGTGAGAATGGGAATCCAATGATCCCAACAGCGAGCAAATTTCCGAGAAAAATGAACCAATGCACGATCAAAAAAGTAATCTGGGTATTCACGTAGCCACAACTCGTGCTTGAGCATTAACAGAAAAGGGAACTCCAGACCGACAATGGAAGTGAACGTACGGGCCCGATGAAAAAACGAGCCAATGACAGCAAGCTTTTGCTGCTTACTGGAGAAAGAATGGAAATCTTGGATGCAGTGAAAAGTCAATGGTCCGTTCACCGAACTACCCTGATTCTTCATAGTGGCTCTGCATGCAACTCGGCACGGATTATCCAAAATCATCAGGGTACAGCCAATGAAATCCCACTCAGAGGAGAGATTAGTTTGCTCCAAAACCAGTGCCGGGTCATAACAAGACCGAAACGACTCCATGATACGTACTTCTGCATCCCACGAACACCGATCAGATAACCGAAATTTCACGAAAAAAGAAACATTATCAACAATCCTGCAGCCATGAACCAACAATCTATCATTACCCAACGAAGACAAGAACTTAAACTCATCAGATGCACAGAGTAGACATGCAAGAGCCGGACTCGTGGATTTCCCCATTGAAATACCCACGGTCTGCTGGAACAACCGTCCAGAAATCATCGCGAAAGTGTTTTTGAGTTCATACTGCACAAAGGTCATTATGCGAGAAAATTTAAGACGGATCCAACCAACTTCACCTTTGCCACGTGTCAGCCTAACCGCTTTACCATGAGCACATACCAACACTGCCGCGTATCCTTCACTCCTCCAAAAATCCAAAACCCATCGAACGGCCCTCAGAATGGATGGATGTGGTAGATGTGAAAACATCTCCTTTACGTCGAACGACCCACCCAACAAAAAGTCTTCGTTCTTCAAATCCTTGTTGATACCTGCGATCTTCTTCATCATGTCAGCCGTACACCGAAGATTGAAATCTTCTCCGGTAGTCTCCACAACAGACAGTTGATTGCTCGTGCCACACGCTTGCTGCTAGCAGATGAACAGTCAGAATGTGAGGGACAGATTGGATGCCATCGACGGACATCTTTGTGTTTCGGCAGACAGTAAACATGACCAAACGTACCCTTGTTTTGTTCCATCTGCCAATCTCGTTGAACTTTTGCTCAGCGTACTGCTTCTTACAAGTCAACACAACTTCGCCCACCGGGATCTCGACGGGTACAAACGAATCATTGTCCAAAAATAACTTCCTCATACCCTCACCGTATACAACCGGACAGCAAATGAATGTATCACCAGGATTGTGATCCAATGTAGAACGAACCAGGCCACCAAAACGATCTGCCTGCTGACTAACTACTTCCTCAGAAAAAGTCAACCCAGAATGTCCCGACGTGGTGTCAAGAATGCAAGATCGGAAGAGATGTTCATCATAAGGACTCAGACAAAGACGAGGAAGACAACCAACTGTTTGGAAAGAGCGAAGAATTTGGCGCCGCAGATTGGAAACCGGATGTCCTACCGCAGGCCGCAAAACATTCCTAGAATTTCGCATACATAGAGGAAAAAGGTCCACTGAGCTGATACGGAAAGACACATGACCTTCGACTCTCGGAAAAGAACTATCAACATTCTTGCAACAACAAGAAAAACCTCCTGATCGTGCAGTCGTGCGAAAATTGTGAATCAAATCACCCACAGAACGGTTCTTACACCATACGACCCTCATCCGTCGGATTATCATATCAGTCCAAGCAGGCTCAATATCCAACTTACGTACCAACTGCGCACATACGTTCCGAATTCCAGCCTTACAATATCTGTCATCATATATGATCCGGATAATCAATCTCTGACGAACCTGCACACCAAACCTCCGACAAATAACTTTAGACAAAAGAGTGCGTAGCCTACAACGAGTCCGCTTCTCCTGAAAGCATCGTACTGATGAATACGCAAAGATCAAATCTCGAAAGTTCCACGACGTCAGCTGCCGCCCCGAACTAGGATTACTGAGCAGACGAATCAGATTTGGTTTAAGAGCCAATGATTTTTTACAGAATGGGACAATGGTCTCGAAGATGACAACCGCTCCCTCCACAAAACATCCTCTCGAACTCCTCAGCTGATCCCTACAATCATTATAGGAAATAACTGATGAACCATAGCACCGACGAAGTACTTTCCATTTATCAAGCAGAAGAGGTCCACCCTTACATAAAACTGCAACCCGGTCCAATGACTGATCACGGCAATAGTTCAAGATACGAATGAGACTGAGGGACGACACACCACATGAAGAATCGAAATGGAGCACAGAATAAGATGGGAATTTAGTCAAAGTAGGACCACCAGTAAGCCTGGGGGGACACGTCGCCACAATACCGCGCTGCTTCTTTCTTCGTAACCGTTCTCGTTTACCTAATCTTCGTGTCTTATGTTTCCTTGGTTTGTCCTTTGAGTTGAGTGCAGGTGAGAACGACCGAATGACAAATTTCTCCGTTTCCTCAAGATCTTCACTAGAGCAACGACAGATCGGAACAGCCACATCTCAATGCCACAGCGCCGAAACCAACGGTACAATCGTTCATTACGTCGTCCCTGTCCAGTAACAGATTCACAACGCGTCCTATAAACATGCTCTGACCACCGAGTTCCCAAGTCACGTGCAGTGCTACCCACATATAGATGGCGACACCATGGGGACAAAAGTACGTACACCAACGACCCTTTAGTAACTTCACCATTCGTCCACCACTCTAGAAGATAGGGAGAAAGCTTAGAAGCCTAGGGAACCAGTCCACAAAGGATAAGAACAACAACTACTATTCGAAGAAGAGCGTCAATTTCCCTATTTCTTACGTTCTTAGAGGAGGACAGACGAGAATTAGAACATTCATTAGCGAGAGACCAAAGGTATGCCGCGCTCAGGAGGGACCCTAAGAATCAACCGAGTCCCTCCCGTCGTTCTTACCGTCGTCATCACCGTCATCTTCCGAAACTTCCTGTACCGCTGCCTTCTTACCAAACGCCTTCTCCACCCGTTTTTCAATAATATCGGTAATCGTCCGTGGTATCGTGCTATACTTAATTCCCTCCTTCATGCATATTTCCACGAGATCGTCTTTCTTCTTGTTTGCCAGTTCCTTCCGTGCCTCACGAATGAAGTTCTCACGTCCATTCTCCCCACCAACTTCCTCTCCTTCGTCCCCCTTCTTCTTGCCACGTGTAGTCTTAAGAGCAGATCTGCCTATATCTAGATCACCCATATCTTGATCACCTATATCTCGATTACCTGCTTCTTGATTACATACCTCTTGATTACTACTATTCGCAGTAGTAACATCAGACAAATATGTTCAGGTTGGGATTGCTCAGTAATTTCACTAGTAGGTTTTGCTCTGCCTGTCCCCCCGAGTGGGGTGAGGCGAATTTTCTTTATTCTGTTTTTTCACGATTTTCTTGTTCCTGAGTGGGGATTTCGAACATTGAATTTTGCAGACGTTTTAGGGGGGATAGGATTTCGGGGGTTATGGCTGGAACTTTGGTAGGCAGGGGGGGGTTTTGAGACCCCAGGGTACAGATATACGGTAGTTACCCACAGCAGGTCTGAGAACCGCCTGGCCTAAGTTAGGGGACAAGCCAGGGGAAGGGAKGTAGGACTGTCAGCCTGGGCTCCGCCTGGCCTTGGGGAAGCTAGGGGAAGGAGAGATAGGGCTGGCCAGTTGTGGGTATAGATTACTAGTTAGCTGTCCCAGAAAAAGAAACCCTGGGGTCTGTTACAGGGGAGCCTTATTCTACAAGGGTGTTGCATGGTGGGAGGCAATAGCCCTATTGGGAGTAGGGCAGATCGGGGATTGTCTGAGTCTGGGGCCGGGGTTGTAGAGTTGGTCGCCTTCAACCCCAGCGGGGGCAGACAGGGACAAGGGGTGGGCAAAGGCAGCCTCTAGGAGGGGATTGGTTGCCTTCGCGGATGAGGTGGAGGGAGGGGAGGGGATCTGTTCTATGTTGGGGCCGAGGGATTTTCCTTGGTGGAGGCAGCATGAGACAGGGTACAGTGGGT